GTGGCTCGCTCGGGCCCGGCAGTCTCCGGCTGCGCGCGATCTTGCGCGATCTGTCTCCTCCTTCCGTCCTGGCCACCTGCGAGCAAAACCGCTGGATTCTTTACTTGACGGCCTCAGCGACACTGCATTCTCAGAACCTCTCTATCGCACATGACTTCGCGGACGACTTTCCATAATCCCGCGCTTCCTGATTCATTCCCACTTCATGCAGCATTCATGCACGATAAGCACGACGCGCCAGTGTCCCTAATGCCGCTCGGCATTTCTCTTTTCTTACCATGAGCGACGGTTCCTGCTCTATCTGTCTACATGTGCGGCAATCATGTATCTCCATCGTGAAATCAGATTCATGACTCATTCCTGCGTTGCTTGACCGGAAATGCTCCAGCACTTTTCATTCCCTAGTACTCACTCTCGATGGCAGCTGCAGATAAGCAGCTCGCCACATCGGATCTCCAGTCAAAGGGAGATTGATGACATCTCCTTTACTCCGACGAGAGGCGCCATGCTACCCTGGAATTGGTGCCCGGGCATTCCATTTGCTTCCGCTTCGGGCTGAGCACCATGGACCGCGCCAGTGGTGATGGCCACCCGCGCTGTACAGATCCAACAAACCATAAACTATAACGCTCAGGCATCTTTGCAAGCCGCGTTTCGCTCTCACACCTGCGGCAATAGGTTCCGCCCCACTCCGGTCCGTATTCCACGCTCCAGACGCCATTTACCTCCAGTTGACCAATAAGATCACCGTCCTGGGCCGACGCAGTCAGCGCCCCCCGAGGCCGCATCAACGTGCGCCCTCCGCCTCGTCTTCTTTTCCCTTCTTATCATCTCCAAGGTGTCGCTGCTCGCTTGCATTATCACGAATGCCGTTACATGCGCCGCGACTTCAGTAGCCAAAGCATTGACCTGTTTTGCCCTTTTCCGTCAAAGCCAAAGACGCGCGCAGTGACTCACCGTGATATCCTACTAGACGTCCCTGCAGCATCGTGTACTCCAGCGAGAAGATTTCACGGTCCACGTACCGCCGGATTTGGGAACCGTATATCCCATGTAAGGCTTCGTGCTCAAGAACCGACGATCTTGCAGATGCCTGAGTCATCATGCATCAGCGACGATACTTGTGGCCTTCTTTCATGTCGGGCGGCGCACTCGCGGCAACACATTTCCTCAGGTACGGCGGCACCAGTATCTGAATTGCGCAAGAATTGCAAACCTTGAGCAGGCGTCGGTAGACGTCTTGAGGCTTTCGAGAAAACTTGCAAGAGTCTCGCGTTGCTATTCAACTGTAAACCTTGTTTGTGTAACTTCGGCGCTCCGCCGAGGTTCACCATCTGTCGCGCATCCTTGCGCTATCTCCTCGCAGCTTTAGTGATTCTGGCACCAATCCCGGGATCCCACGTTCACCGCTCTCGACACCCCCACCCTCTCGCAAAATTTTCTGGCGTGTCAGGGCGGGCGTGATACGGGCCCAACCGTTCTCAAGACTATAATTGAACAGCGAACGTTGATCTTTGCGGCGTGCCTTGGAATTCCCTTTCCATCCCTGCATCGTTCCTCCCTTATCGCGGCAAATCAGCCTCGACTCTTTCCAATAGTGGCTTGCGCGCTATAAAACCAAGGCCGTCTGCCCCAAGGAGGCAAGGGGTCCCCCCCTGCTCTCGCACCCGCGCGGCCGATATTCCCTATGGCATGGCGACTCGGATAGAGTTGCCAATGCAAACAAGATAGCTCTCTTCCTTGCTGACTGGCCGCTGCACCTTCCGCAGGCTCACTTCCCTGTACGCCCTTCTGCAGTCACGCAAGAAGTCGGCGACCGTTGGAGCTGCCGCCTCATGCCCGTAATCTCACCGCAGCGTTTCTGGCCAGCGCATATAGCGCATCCCACGTTCCTTGCTGCGCGCGCCGCGCGGCTCTCGCGCATGTAACTTGCTTTGTGCGGCGCGCGAACACGACTCGAGCACGTGTCCCTTGCACCGCCGTCCCGCCTGCTTCTATATCCCTGTGGCCGCTCTGTCGCCTCTGATCCACGGTGTTTTTGGCCTCTTCATCTGTCTTATCACCCGCCGCGCTCGATCAACATCCCTAGATAGCACGCAACGGTACTTTTTGTCTGTCGGCGGCGCGTTCGGTCCTCTCGCTCCTCCAGCCTGCCGCCCTGCTGGCTCATCGCCCAGTGGACCGTAACGCTTCCTTTCGCTGTTTCCGCCTGCATCTCGGTGTCCCGGCATCACGGCACATCTCGCGTTCTCTCGACATGTTCTATCCTCGGTTGCAGATGTTACAAATATAGTCAACCAACATGCTATAGTGTACAACAAATACAGCGCGAATGCGCGCGCCACACAGACGGATCAGAGATCGTGAATAAATTCATGCACGGGGCCCCGTGCTTCTGAGCAGCTCCACAGTTCGACGGTCTGCAACGCGCAGAGTTACGCCGCATCAACAGTCGAGCAGCTCTGCGCCAAAGCCGTCCATGGGTGTGATACGGAATCGCGACGCCCACGGCCCCTCGGAGAACTCGCGCACCCAAGAGCGGCTGAGCCCACCTTCCCACGCGTACAGCTCGACGCGCCAGCCTTTTTTCAGAGCGGTGCGCACGCAGCCGCGGAATCCCTCTTCATTGAACTGGCCAACGTTGCCGTCGCCTGTTGCAAGTACGATCGTGGACCCAGAGGGGGGCGACTCAATGTCGGCCACCGATTGCAGGAGCTTGAGCTGCAAGAGTTCGTCCACGCCTTGTTCGCGATAGCGGACACGTCCCGCTGCCGCAGAACGCGAAGCTGTCGCAGGTGGCACACCGCTGCTTGACGTGCCCGGCTCCGACGAATCGGTGCCTACGGCGGCGGCGGCGTTGGGCCGGAGGGCGTAATCTTTGGTGACACTCCAACCGCTGCCGCTACTGCCGCCGCCACCGCTGCGTCCTCGGGAATGACGGGGACGGTGGGCTGATACGCGGTCAGCGCCGTTCCCGTTATCGGGAACGCGCGCATAAACATGCACCTCATACCCGAGTTGCGCCGCAGTATCCATTGGCTGATAGAGCGGCGAAGAAGCTGCAAGTACACGCCGGCTGACGGAACGCCCGCGCTCGAGAATGAGAGCGAGCGCGGCATGCGACATCTGGCGCGACTTGGTGCTTGCAAGGTGGTGTGGATGCCGACGTAGATACGTGAGGAAGCCGATGAGTATGTTGGAGCTATCGGAAGACCGTCAGCGTCTTGGAAATTTTCGCGGAAAGAAGGACGCACTAGTCGACAAAGACGTGGACTAACGGCTGGCCAGGCCGTGGGGTGGGGCCCCGGGGGTCAATAAATTCGGCTGATGAAGATTGGAATGATTCATTCGTGAGGACGACCGAAAGCAGCTCGGCTTCCGATGCAAAGAGAAACTTAAGCTTGATAGCGAGGGCTCGCAGCCTGACGATTCGTGGGTCGAGCGGGCCGGAGCGAAGAGCAGGGGTCGACTTGCTGTGGCCGAGGCGTGGCCGTGCTTCCAGTGAAGCAGAGCGAACGCTGGGACGCCGGCCTGCCTTGCGGCGGGGTGGGGAAGCCGGGGTCGATTTGTATTGCATGGCAGCCTCAGAGGACGAGACGTCAGGTGAGGAGGATTCGGACGCTTCTTCACCATCATCGCCGCCTGGCGAGTCGAGCATTTCAGTATGGCTCTGACTGTCATCACCAGGCGCCAGCTCCCGGACGAGGACGGTGCGGACGAGCGACTTGGCCTTTTTACGGCGGCGTTTGCGACGTGGAATCTGCTGGTCGCCCCACGGATCTTCGGATGTGGAGCTGTTTGCCCGCCAGGCGTTGTCGCGGGGTACCGTGAGTTTGGCGCGCTCAGCTGCGATGAACTGCAACGCTTCGTCTAGGTAGCCTAGGGATGGTTCATTCGTGTGTTCTTCAATGTCGTGGTCCTCATTGGACAGGCCATCGTGATCGCCGCTGTCTCCCTCACGGTCGAGGATGGGTTCGCCCTCAGTATCGGAAGAAGGCGGCTCGGATGGGGGAGGGGACGATGCATGAGAATGTCGAGTGGTTGTATGCGAAGAGACGGTCAGATACGATGCGATGTTTCCCTGATTCCATACGGTGGAGCCTCTGTTGTAAGGATCCGACTCTGACTCTGTGGGTGAGAGAGCAGACGTGGTGGGGGTAGCCGCGTTGCCAACGACATGAGGAATGAAGTTTCTTGGTTGGAATTCATTCAAGGCGCGGAAAACGATATTGAAGGCGCCAAGGTCAGGGGACTCTGAAGCACAAATGAGCAGCTGGGCGGCAGAAGAGGGGATCGGACACGGACCGTCGGAGGTTGCTAGGTCGCTGCTCCCCGAGTGCGTAGAGAAAGGACTAAAGGGAGCCGGCGAGGGTGTTGCGTCTGATATCGAGCTCGTCATGTGTTACAGAAAGTGCGAAAGCGAAAGGAAATAGGTGGTGTCGGTCAAGGGAGTGTGTCTCTAGGGGGCATGCCGCCCGTCGCGCTGAACTAGCCTACCGTGGCAGTGTCTGTCTCCTCACCGTCGGCGGCGCCGGCTGACTCCATTCCATTCTTCCTCGGCACACCGGCCCGCTTCCTCCGCCATCCTCTCCCTTCCATGCGATGTCGAGCCGTTGGAATCCATCCTCCAGGTCATACATAAGGCTGGCTTGGGGAGGGGGATGGGTCGTTAGTTCTTTCTCTCTTTCCCCCACCATCCCCTCTCCGCCCTTGTTCCCCTGCCTATCACTGTCCTGTGTCCTACCTCCCTCATTCACGTGCTCGGGGTATGAGGTAGTTAGATAAGCTTGCTAAATGAGCGCAAGAAGAGTCAGAAGCTGTAGACACTGACACAGCTTCAGCATGATAGTATATCACAGGCAGATAGGGTGGATATGGGGTCCCTTACAGGTGCTCACGTATGCTACTGTGGGGCCGCATGGGTTTGATATCAATGTGTAGAAAAGTGAGTAATAGTCAAGGTAGTAGTTAGCTAGCTAGTAGTCAGTGAGAAAAAAGATTGCATTAACTGGGAATCGAACCCAGGGCGGGTCGAAGTTACTGGGGTAGTGACTGCGTAGTCACGTGACCCGAACGGTTGGCAACGACCCAGGTTACCACTACCCCATTAATGCCCTATATGGTAGCTTGTATAAAGCACAATAGTACGTGTTCTTGCCATAGGCGCCGTTGACATTACTCGAGTCGTGTCCATAAACGGTCCTCAACTTGCTCCCGCGACGCGCCGTCCGACCCTGAACTCTACTCACCACTGCGGGTCGACTGTTCCTCACACTACCTGAACCCATGGCGGGTGTTTTCGCTTTCAAACCACTCCCTTGCTCGCTACGATGTGCAACGTTGGCGCGTCCTGCACCCACGACCACTCATTGCCCTAGTGGCACACGAAGCGTTTCATCCTCCCCCTACGGCCGCACTCACGTGTGGAAACGACGCCCAAAGAAACTTCCAAACCCCGTTGTGCCTCAGTTCCCTCAACGCGTCATTCGTGCGGATGGCTCAAGCTTCACTCACTGGACAACTTCTCCGCGCGCACTCATTCGGCTGACCCGCGATGTCACAAACAACCCACTGTGGAACGTTTCTACCCTCACGGGAGAGGGTGCATCGGAGGAGAGCGAGGTTACGGGTCGTCTGGGCAGATTTAACAGGAAGTTCATTGGGGAGATTGATTGGATGGCCGAAGCGGAGGGTGGCCCAGCGCCGGCTGGAGACGCGGCCCAGAAAAAGTAGGCGAGGGCAAGGATCACACCCGTCGTTGCGGCCTGGGTGATGCGCAGGGAATAGACATGCTTAATACCTCTAATCTAATGACACTGTCTCGATGCAGAGGGTGAGGTGTCGCTCGTCAACGCGTCACTCTTGAACTCGTCATTCGGTTTTCCCTTTTGCTACCTCTGAGGGCTGCGGTGCCTTGGGAGCAGCGTCACTAACATGCTGAAGAGCCCCTTCCACCTTCTCCGCGACCTTGCTCGCGGCAGCCGTTCCACGACCGAGTGCCTCCTCCACCTTCAACCCCGTCAGCTCCTGAACCCTGTGCACAGCGCTCCCCAAGCCCTCCTGGAACTTGTCGCGCCCGCTGGCCGTAGAGTCGCGGAGGCGGTCCCATGCCATGTGCGAGTGCGCTATCGCGATTGCGTGCTTCTGCGCAAGGACCGGGAAGTGTTTCTCCTCGAGCGAGCCGGCATAGTCCTCGACATTCTGCGTCGTCTTGGGGAGGAAGTACTTGAGCGAGAAGAAGAGGAGTGTCGGCGGGAGCAACACGCGCGAAAAGATGGAGCGGTTGCGCGCGAGGATGGAGCCTGTGAGCGAGGCAACCCCGACGTACAGCAGGCCTGGGGTGAGCGGTTCGTCCGGCGCAATGAGCGACTTGACGCGGTCTACGGAACCGTCAGAGGGGTATCTCGCATCAGGAAAGGGTGAACGCACGTTCGACCGCTTGTTCGATCCCAATCCACTTTGATACAGCACCGTGCACCTGCCCGTGTACGTCCTGTGCCACGCCCGTGACGGCCCTCCGCGCCACCCCTATCTGGGTCTCCAGGACAGACGGGGTGTCGACAACGACGATCTCAGGTTCCGGCTCTGGGTAGATGGAAAGCTGCTGGCACCGTCAGCTCCACTTCAGCCGACCGAGAGAGACTGGCGGACTTTTCGTTTTGGAGGCTCAGTGACGACGCCGACTGCGACGCCGGCCGCAAGTACGCCTGTGCGAGACTGCGTATGGTCAGCAGTATCCCCTACGATACGGGCGGAAAACCGCACCAATGTTCGAGTCCACGACATTATGCTGGTACACTGTCCTGCCTGCTGGCTTCGGAAGAGCTCGGCGTCGCGGATAGGACGCGTGACAAATGCACGTGCGGAATGTCACGACCCTACAAACTGAAGAGATCTCCCGTCCGATCAATCATGAAGCTTCTCAACTTGTACTGGTACTGGTTCAATGCCAGTTGGAGACTCGTGGCCACCAAATCCAACTCGGGAGCGCTACGTTCCAGAATCTCGTTGAAAGAGGGCAGCTCCTCGGGCTTTACGATCTCCACCGTGATGAGAATACTCCTACTAGAATGTTCTCTCTCCCACAAGCTGGTGATGGGGACGTGTGTGCGGTGGCATTAGCTTGAATATCACACTTCAAAGCCACCGGTAATCGCTCTGGCCTGCTATATGCAGCCTTGCGCACACAAGGCAGACGGTTTGTGGTTGTACTTACTCGGAACCTCTTCACAGGCGCAGGAACGAACTCCAAAATTATTTCGCCTGCCGATCGAGCGTAATGAAGTTTAGACGTTCGGATCTGAGAGGAACAGAAGCTGCGATATCTCAAGGCAAAACTCTACCTGCCAACCCTCGCCGGCGGTGCACGCGAATCCATACTCCGACTGCAGCGTGCGACGTGCGGCGGCGAATGCTCGGATGCCGCCTCGCAGCTGCGTTCGGCAATTTGTCCATGCGACGCTTCCGACAAGCTCATGCGTCGAAGCCACCCCAGCCCGCAACCCAGGACGGGGGTTGAGCGCCAGGGATCGAGCGGGTTGCGGTGGCAAAAAATCCCGAGGGAGAAAAGCAAACTTTAGGCGCTCCATTTGCAACGATGCTGGTGGCGTTGGTGTTTGAGACATCTGGGCAGAGGGTAAGCAACTTCGCAGTACAAGTATGGTGAAATACAGACGGTTCGTGACTAGCTTTGGACTCGTTGATGAATTGTCCCAAATGTTGGCTATGCGCGTGATCGGGATCCGGCGTGTCAGACTTGTGGCCACCGACCGCCAAGCAACAGGAGCTGATCGTGTATGAGATGCGTTCAATCTGGTCAATAGCTCGCGGGTGGATTCGCGCCTCTCCCTCGTTGCTTACCATACAAGAGCATATCTTCGCAGACAGTCCTCACCTTGTGACACCCTCGGAGTCGAGACCACCAGGCTGAGGAAGCCAGAGCCAGCCTACAGGCTGGGCTTTCCCTACCATTCTTTGTCGTACGCCCAGACACACAATTGACAGTGAAAGGAAAAGGGGTGTCTTCCTCAGTAATGGAGAGAAACGACCCTCCGAGACATCAGAAGCACCCCCGCCATAGGTCGAAGCCGCGCGCGCTGTGCACAACACCCGTTCCAAATGTAGCTGAACAAAGAGAGACGTACATATTGCACCTATCAGCACGCAGGGTCGGAACAGCCTCGAAGGTGGCGACCGGATAGCCCTCGATAGGGCGGACAAGCGTCGCCACTCCGCGGGTGCTTGCACCCACGCCAAGGCACCTGGTGCGTATCTTGACGTCTTCGGAAGTTATGTACGCGCGATACTTACTGGGTCGGTTATCCGCGGCCGCAAGCCAGCCAGCTCCAATCCGCCCACAATCGAAACAGGACACGTCGTACAGATAGCAAAAGACGTCACAAAGTCGGAAGGTGACGTTTCAGCTCAGGTTTGCTTATCTCTGGACGTCCCGCTTGCGAAGATAGCAGCGCCCGCAAGGGCCTTTCTCAGGGAGTCCGCGTTGAACATGCCGGAGCACACCACTGTCGAAGCCGCTTGATACTTCCAAATTCCCGACGAGGGTGACAATGCCGGTGCCGTCTGGAGTGGGAGAGCCTGGGCTAGAGGTCGATCCCGGTCGAGGCGCAGCCTGAACCAGACAGATCAAAGCCAACCAGGAATTTGAGATGTGAGGCGCCCATGCTGACCGTGCGAGGGTTCCGCGTTCCGAGCTCGAAAGGCTGCCGTTATGCAACAAGTCTACATTGGTGGTGGCGGGGCAAAGCCAGGCCGCTCTGTGCAGCGAGAGGCACGTTTCTGCTCTTCATAAGCTGCCCCATAATGGAGGAAGCCTATGAAGGGTTCTGACGGGTATCCTTTGGGCAGCGCTGTTCTATATGGGGTTTCCTTTGGAGAGAGGCCTGTGCTGAGAATAGACCGCCCAGTGGCGCGCGAGGGAGCCTCGAAAAGGCGACCCTGCTACCAAGTGCTTGCAGTGCGAGGTGTGGGCCTCGAACCAGAGTTCAGCATGGCAGTGTGATCCGCGAAGGAAGCCTGTCAACGTCGGGCAGCACCGCGACGGAGAACGAGCGTTGCGCAAAGAAAAAAAAAAAAAAAAAGATAGCGATATCGGAATCGGGGAGCCTTTCGGCAGTCTTTCGGCGGACACGTGGGGAAGGCGCTCCACTTTGGCCTGAAACGGCCATGAGAGGATCCCATGACGGCCCAAACTACCCTCGCACAAGTTGCAGCCCCAGAGGCTGCGCTTGCCTTAGCCAACGGCCATGATAACCTCTCGCCTAACTATCCTCCTGGCCGTTGCCCTCGTGCAGACGGGCGTGCAAGCGGCGCCCAAGCGCTGGGACTCGCCCATCTCCAACTGCCGGGTCACTCTTGATAAATACCACTTCGATCTTTGCCCTCTTCTCAAGGAGCGTCACCAGTCTGGCCAGATCGACCTGGTCACGCACTATAAGACCCCACCGACGATCACCACAATAATATACAATGTCAGTCTTAGTGGCCCGCTCAAGAAGGCGGATGGAATACCCGACGACGAGCAGGTCAGTTGTGCCGTCTGTGTATGCATGGACGCGCTACATGTTCACTTCGTTCCACAGTGTGCCGAAGGGACATGGGCGTGCATGACGAGTAAACAATCAAAGCGCCTTTCGTTCGCGATGCCCGTCGTTCTGACATTGTTGGGCAGCGCGTAATCGTCGCCCAGGACGTGATCCTGTGAAGGACAGCCGTGTAACCCAACTGGTTCCCTTGGTTGCCAAGCCTTCCAAAAGTGAAAGCCTTTCTGCGTCTGCTGCAGAGGAGAGGGAGGAATTCGGTATTTACGCACAGCTGGGAAAGTCTGAAGAGGGAAAACCTCGTACGTGCTCACTCCGCCTTGTGTTGTTGCAATATTGAATACGACGTACCCCAGCGCCACTATCTCTTCGCATGTATGGGGGCTACTATGTAGATAAACCCCAGAGAGTTCAGATCAACTTTGTGTGCTCAGCGTCAGACGACGACGTACGTTCTTTCGAGACCATGTCACTGTGTTGATGATACAACGGGAGTCCAGGCCCCCAAATATTCCTGGACATGGGCTGGTACCCACACTTTCACCTGGGCAACGAAG